ATTCATAAATGATCTGGAGAAAGGAGTAAACAGTGAGGTGGCAAAGTTTGCAGTTGATACTAAACTGCTCAAGAGAGTTAAGACCAAAGCAGACTGTGAAGAACTTACAAGATCTCACAAAACTAAGTGATTGGGCAACAAAATGGAAAAATGAACTTTAATGTGGATAAATGTAAAGTAATGCACATTGGAAAAAATAACCCCAACTATACATACAATATGATGGGGGCTAATTTAGCTACAACTAATCAGAAAAGAGATCTTGGAGTCATCGTGGATAGTTCTCTGAAGACGTCCACGCAGTATGCAGCGCCAGTCAAAAAAGCAAACAGGATGTTAGGAATCATTAAAAAAGGGATAGAGAATAAGACGGAGAATATCTTATTGCCCTTTATATAAATCCATGGTACGCCCACATCTTGAATACTGCGTACAGATGTAGTCTCCTCATCTCAAAAAAAGATATACTGGCATTAGAAAAGGTTCAGAGAAGGGCAACTAAAATGATTAGGGGTTTGGAACGGGTCCCATATGAGGAGAGATTAAAGAGGCTAGGACTTTTCAGCTTGGAAAAGAGGAGACGAAGGGGGAATATGATAGAGGTATATAAAATCATGAGTGGTGTGGAGAAAGTGAATAAGGAAAAGTTATTTACTTGTTCCCATAATATAAGAACTAGGGGTCACCAAATGAAATTAATGGGCAGCAGGTTTAAAACAAATAAAAGGAAGTTCTTCTTCACACGGTGCACGATCACCCTGTGGAACTCCTTGCCTGGGGAGGTTGTGAAGGCCAGGACTATAACAGGGTTTAAAAGAGAACTAGATAAATTCATGGAGGTTAAGTCCATTAATGGCTATTAGCCAGGATGGGAAAGGAATGGTGTCCCTAGTGTCTGTTTGTCAGAGGGTGGTGATGGATGGCAGGAGAGAGATCATTTGATCATTACCTGTTGGGTTCACTCCCTCTGAGACACCAGGAATTGGTCACTGTCGGTAGACAGGATACTGGGCTGGATGGACCTTTAGTCTGACCCAGTATGGCCATTCTTATGTTTTTATCCCCCCTTAGTCGTCTCTTTTCCAAGCTGAAAAGTCCCAGTCTAATTAATCTCTCCCCAGCCGTTCCATACCCCTAATAATTTTTGTTGCCCTTTTCTGAACCTTTTCCAAGTACAATATATCTTTTTTGAGATGGGGCGACCACATCTGCATGCAGTATTCAAGATGTGGGAGAACCATGGATTTATATAGAGGCAATATGATATTTTCTGTCTTATTATCTATCACTTTCTTAATGATTCCCAACATTCTTTTTGCTTTTTTGACTGCCGCTGCACATTGAGTGGATGTTTTCAGAGAACTATCCACAGTGACTCTAAGATCTCTTTCTTGAGTGGTAACAACTAATTTACACCTTATCATTTTATATGTATAGTTGGGATTATGTTTTCCAATATACATTACTTTGCATTTATCAACACTGAATTTCATCTGCCATTTTGTTGCCCAGTCCCCTAGTTTTGAGAGATCCTTTTGTCGCTCTTCGCAGTCTGCCTGGGACTTAACTATCTTGAGTAGTTTTGTATCATCTGCAAATTTTGCCACCTCACTGTTTACCCCTTTTTCCAGATCATTTATGAATATGTTGAATAGGACCGGGCCCAGTACAGACCTCTGGGAGACACCACTATTTATGTCTCTCCATTCTGAAAACTGACCATTTATTCCTACCCTTTATTTCCTATCTTTTAACCAATTACCAGTCCATGACTGCTTACTTTGCTTAAAAGCCTTTGGTGAGGGACCTTGTCTAAATACACTGGATCCTCTTGTCCACATGCTTGTTGACCCCCTCAAAGAATTCTAGTAGATTGGTGAGGCATGATTCCCTTTACAAAAGCCATGTTGACTATTCCCCAACAAATTATGTTCATCTATGTGTCTGACTATTTTGTTCTTTACTATAGTTTCAACCAGTTTGTCCGGTACTGTAGTCAGGCTTACCAGCCTGTAATTGCCGGGGTCACCTCTGGAAAGATACATTTCATAGAAATGTACCTTTAATGCCATCATAAATATCATTTCACAATAAAAATTTTATTGAAAGTTTTTGTTATTCCCGCAAACTTTTTTAAAATACACAAATATTTTTGCCTTTAAGCATATTTCATATTTACATTTATGGGTTTCATATTAAGCATGCACATGTATAATAGAGGTGGGCTCCAGAGGCTCTGTGTGTGTGTGTGTGTGTATATATATATATACACACTAGTTTGTATTTTGGGGCTGTGGCTGTTGCTCAGTATAGGTATAGGAATTTGACAGCACTGTCTTGCCATCCAAGTTACTGTTCCTTCAGTTCTTTCCCCTCACTTATGTCATGGCAACCACTTCAGTGAGCTGCCCACTCATCTGGCAAATCAGGAACCAAATTATTATGGTTTCTATCAAATTTTGTAGTCTCTATAAGGCAGAAGGGTCTGCAAATGAAATTCCTGCAAATTATTAACATAGAGTGCTGATTTCAGTTCCTCATAACCACTGCCTCTTTCCCATCCCCCCCCCCCCCCCCCCCACCCCTGTCGCTGCCTTTCACATGTCACATTTTGCATAGCTGCTTTTCCGTGAGGTGGCAGCAGCGGGTTGTTCTTGTTCTTGCTCGAGGCTGGGTCAAGACTGAACATGTCCTGGAGGTAGTGCAACCCTTTTTAGGGGCAATATGTTTTTACCACTCTCCGAAAGCCCCTGTTGGCCAGTCCAAGAAGAGCCATTGGCATGAGTTAGAAGCTGAGCTTTAAGATGTATATTGCAAGGACAATAATTGCTTTTAATTAGAGAATAAAAGCCCATAGCAAAATTTTAAAAAAAAGTAACAAACAATGTAGCATGGTATTTGTCATACTCTGTTCTCTACTCTATTCATATTCAACCAATAAGGAATGAGAATGGTATTTCTGAGTGCTGATTGGTCATAGAATGGAGGGAAAGGACTACAATGAATAAAATTACCAGTAACTGTCTTATTATAGAAAGTGGAGAGACTCAAAATGTGCAGGATAAAATAACTATAATTTGATTCACTTTTTATAAAGACATTGTAAGAGAGAGGCTTCAAAACTGATTAAACTAAGGGATAATGGACTGTTGATACCACATCTTTTTGAAATAAAATACAACCCGCCTGCACGCTTGCTAAGAAAATAAAAACAGAAAAGTAAATTAGTTGTTTACAACTGTGCTTTCATTTTTTTGGTGTTGCACAGACCTCAAGCAAAACCCAAAAATATTGTTGGACATACATGGTGTGTTTGTGTGCACAAAAACAAAACAAAAAAATAAGCCTTTTTGTTGGCTGTATTCAGAGAGTTTGGGGTTTTTTAGAGTTCTAATAGAAAATCATGTACAATGGAGTGGAAAAAGTAATTATACTGTATATTTTAAAAGTACTTAAGTATCTTTAAAACAAAACGTATTCCAATTACCCTGTCAGTCACAGAAAGAGGAAATGCATTCTGTTACAGGAAAAAATCAAAAATAGAAGCATGAGTTTATTAAATAGCATGTTTCAGGGTACAAATTGTTCATCTGTATAGCCTCTTTCGGTTCTTACTGTGTGAGGAATTGGATTTGATATAGTAAGATACATAGTTTATATAAAGTTAACTATGCTTTTTAAATGGACTCTAGTGAACCTGCAAAGTTGTTTACTCTGTTTTGGGCTGTTCTCTATAGTTTACACTCCGGGGTGTGTTTCTGGCACTGCTATGCAAACTCAGGAATCATCTGACATATCCAATTCTGAGATAGTGTGAGCACCTTGACATTGTTCCCTTTTCCTTGGAAACTCTGTGAACTTTATTCCCCTCCGTTGTCTTTTTCCATTGTTTTTAAGACATTAGGACCCCCAAAAAGTGGGTTAATGGATACTTCTGTAGTTTTAGTAAGGGTGTTTACCCGTCATTTAGTTTGGACATCGAATTTTTTCCCCCTATTTTCTGTGCTAGAAGCAAGAGCTAAAAAGGTCCACAGCCTGCGCTATGCTATGTATGCTCAGTCATTGTCAGGGACTTGTCTGTATGATAACTCTCTTGTCTATGGGAGGCCTGAAAAGAAAGGAAGATTTTATTATTGAATTTTGTGCTGGTCAGTTCAAGAGCACCCTCTCACAGCCTGGCGCCTACTGACTTCAGAGCCTTTATCACCTAACGTTAAGTACTGCTTCAAACCAATATTAAAGTTAGCTTTCTCTCAACACTCTTTTTCCTTTTTCTTTGACTTGGGGACTGGAATAGTGGCTGTCTAGCTTTCATCTGACCACAGTAGATAATGCTTGAGTATTGTAAATTTGTTGCCACAATAATCACAAGTAAGAGATATCATGAAGGTTTGAATATGCATCTCTCATTTTCAGTTTGACTACCACCTGTGTACGCTGTTTCAGTGTAGCTTTTTAGATTTGTATATTGAGGAGCTTCACAATATTTGTTCAACTTTTGTTTTAACACTCCTTAGTAAAGTTAATGTTATAATGAACCAATTGCTCATCAGAGGTAAATGATTAGTTTAAAACTTTAGTCTCTCTAAAAACACGTAACTGTGCTCTCCCTACAGTTGTTACTACAATTCTTTAAAAAAAAAAAAAAAGGGGCAGGCTAGTATGAATGGGTGGGAAACTACCCGAGTCAGGCGGGTAGTGTAGACCTAGCCTCAGTCTGACATCCAGCATGTTCTTCTCATGCTTAAAAGATCTGCAGCAAAAATAAATGTGTAATGCTTAAAAATTGAGCTATTCTTAAAAAAAAGAAAAAGTGAAACTATAGACCATATATGTAAAATTAACATACAGCCATGAGGTTAATATATGCAAAGACAGCCTGTTCTAGCAACCTATTAGATGAATTAGGAGAATAAGAAGGGTTAAGGCTTTAAAGGAGATTATCTTGCTCTTTTCCACACGCAGTGCTGATTAATGCTGTATGTTTCTTTTAATCTCAGGGTTTGTAGGTGAAAATGCCCAACCAATCCCAGAAAACAACATTGGAAACAGAATGCTTCAAAGTATGGGCTGGACTCCTGGCACAGGCCTGGGACCAGATGGCAAAGGGATGTCAGAACCAGTCAGAGCCATCCAGAGACCAAAGGGACTCGGACTTGGATTTAGCTGACAGAGAAGCACTCCAACTGCTGTACAGAAATCAGGAAGACTAACCTTAATTTAAAGGGAAAAAAAGCTAAAGTCTTATATTGTATTTTGTCATCACCAAATCCAGTTGTTGTTCACTTATGGAGTTCTGAAGCCTAAATGTTTCATATTGACTACTCTGGCTTTCAAGATGCAAGGTAGTCACAGTGACAAAAGAGGTGTTTTAATCCTAACTCTGTAATGGTGCTAAAATGTAAAAACAATTGTACTTTTTTATTTTCTGTGATCTTAAAACAAAGTTTGTTAGGTATATGATTCAAAATGCAATGCGTTTATTTTTCCTGAAAAGCTTCTCACACAGCAGATTTCAGCACTTGGGCAAACATTTTTTGGCACCATTTTCTCATCTGAAGTGTTCTGAGAGGATTTGTTATCAAGGAAAATTAAACCTCAGAAAGCTGCTATGTTGGTTCATTTTTCCTTCCTTTACAGGCAAAAATTTCCAAACTAGATATTTCTAGAAGTTGGCCATAGATGAGGATAGGTTAACATGATCTCTGCTTTTCCATGTCGACATACATTAGGTGCCCCCAAATGGCGACATGGTATGCAATTTTGCATAAGGCGAGTATAACTGATGGTAACTTTGTCATCATAGGAATGTAACCCCATTATCTTGTAAAGCATCATGCTTACCTGTGTGTAAGCCCTAATTCTAACGCTTTTATAATTGTTGTTACATCTTGTAAAATATTTGTAAGTAAATATTTTTAAAACTTTTAGTGTTCACCCTCAGCTTGGAATTCTGGTTATTTTTTATACTAGTGTTCCCTTGACTCTCCACCTCAAAAATGAGTGTATTTTAAATGTGACCCTTGCATTGGTTCTTAAACTTTGGGTTTTGGTATATTTTGAATTGACTGGTAGGTTACAGCAAGGGGTGGCTAACATTCAATGTTTTTTGTGGTCATGATATTGGCATCCTACCACAAACTTTGAAGCATCATGGAAGAAGCAGAGAAAAGACAAAGTGCAGCAGGTAAGAAGAGAGGGAAATACTCTGGTAGCATCTCTAAAATCTTGAGTGAGCAATTTAAAGTCAAGGGGGGATCATTAAGCATTTTAATCAGTACCAATAATTTCATCAAACACCAGCCAATCAAGCTGCCAGGATGCTGGTGGTGTAAATCAAATTTCACATTAGGGAGGTATAGAGGAGCCATCATTCAAATTGACTAAGGGTGAAAACTTGGCCCCATTGAAGTCAGTGTCAACATTTCCACTGACTTCAGTGGGGCCAAGATTTAATTCTAAATTTATCATCAGGAAGAAGGCTCTTTTCCTCTCACAACCTCATCCATTTTCCAGCAAACACAATACTAGGAAAGTAGCTACAAGAGCAAGCAACACATTAATTGAAAAGCAGTGTTCTCACTTTCCAAGTGCTAGTATTATCTGTTTTTTGTCCCTTTTTACAGTCTGCTTACTATTGACCTAGTGTAGAGTAACTGGTTAGTGTCTGATGTCATCCTTGATGCTGATCAAATGTACAAGTTCACTCAATTGGAAGAGAATCCTTTACTTGTGGTTTTAAATGCCTTATCTGTGTATGTGTTTTTTTTTGTTTTTTTTTGTTTTTTTGTTTGTTTTGAGAAAGCAACATTTTTTGGAGTTCAGTATTTAATCAGCAAGAATATTTGTTTCTATGGAACTTTCTAGGCCACACTGTAGTGTGGCTTTTCCATTTCAGACTTGTACTATACAGCTAAGCTCATTAAACAGATTCTATGACCAAAGAATTTTGTGGCCATGTAATTGTGAAAAGCAAAGAATTTTGAATTCTGCAACTAACAGTGGATTCCACATGTATAACTGCCGTTTAATATACACACATGGCAGTTATATATATGTACAGATAGATCGCTCTATTTTAACTGATGTGGAATTCTCCTACACGCTTGATACTGCAAAGGGCTATGAAGTGCTGTTGAATTCCAAAGACGTGTTTGTGAGTATTATATGGAGCAGTCAATAACTTCTTGAACTTGTAGATTACTTGTGAATTAATAAGAAGTCACATGGCAATGTTAAGTAAAAGCTGTAGGCTCGTATTATTGTGCTGTATTAATGAACGTTTAAAGAACTTCCTCCCCCCTATTATAATTCCATCATGACTGATTACGAAGCTTGTGTATTATTATTTGATAATTGTAAATGTGGCACAAATAACATTGTTTCTAGTATTTCCAGGCAATATACAGTAGCTGCAGAAATTCAAGAAATATCAGTCTGCAGCTTCAAGAGTATTTGAAAATATTTGCTGTTTTAGTGGAGAATTTAAAAAGAAAAAACTGCATGGACAAATATTAGGATAAAAGCTTGCTAGTTCCCACTCTGCTCCCCATTTCCCCCATGTGCATGGGTGCAATCAACCTGGTAAACTCCCTTGGTGGAGAAATTACTTAGCTTGATGAAGATGTAAAAAATCAGAGCTAAAGTCCGAAAACATGTTGGTTTCTAATTTTAAATCAATCAGTCTGGTCAAAAGAAATTATTAGATATCAAGGGTATTCAAACTGATTTTATTTAGATATAAATATGCCTTGTTTGTTTTGCAACTGGAATTTCCTACAAATGCCAGAGCAGACTGGGCGCCAGGTAGAGGGAAATGATTTGTTAAAATATAATGTAGTGATATTTTTCTTGATATTGCTGTACAATTCTCTCCCTACCTCATTCCCCCATTTTCAATTCTGTTTTCCTAGGCCTCTTTACAGTGCTAACGGTTGTTCTAACAATGTGATTGTGTAGTTAAGAGCTAGTGTGTTCTTTAAAAAGGCCACTTTTTGGAGACACATGGCTTTGGGATTGTGATAAAACATGCCACTATTTCAAAATATGTCTTAAAATTTGCTTGTTAGGTTTTTCCATTACTAGCTTATAACAATACCTACTCCAGTGATGCCTCAGATTATTTTAAAATACATACACAAGTATTTTGATACATGATCTGCTACTAGATATAACATTGAAATTAATTTTCCTTTTCACATATTAATAGATGTTGGACACTCTCTCATATCTTTCCATTTAGGTGCTCAATTAATTAGTAACCCAAAATTTTCTGCCTACATTGAAGGTTTAATAAAAGAGAAACATACATTTAGAGTAATCTACATTGAGTTTTGAGTCATCTATCAATATACCTCAATGTTTTGTGAATTGGGCCATTAACCTTTACTAAAACAGATGAGCAACTGCTGGCAGCATCTTTCTTTTAAATAAATATTTGTTGAAGTAGGAAAAGCATTGTTAACATGCTAATATGTAACAACTTTGTCCCTGAATTTTGGCTTTTCTGTAATTAAGGTCTGTAATGGGCCAGTTGAATTGACAGCAAATGGCTAAACAATCTGTATAGAATGCATTGCTTTAACACAAGGAAGATGTAATAAAATAAAACAGACTTCATTCTTCATGTTCTTTTTGTATGTTGTGTGCTGCTTTTTAGACAGCAGCGTTATTGCTAAGATGGGTGGAAGAATGACATCTTTCTGTAACATGTAGTTAAGGCTGCTAATATCTTTAACAAATAAATATTAGCTAGAATTGTTATTACAAGGCTTGTGAAACTTTACTAATGTCCCTTCCTATTTTTGTATTCCCCAGCAGGAACAGTTACTTAGCTAATTATGTGTAAATTATCTATAGAAATAACTATATTAAACCAGTGTTAAGGTTGCACAAACACCCAAAAGTCAGGAAATGCCCCAGTGCAGATACTCACCCCATTTTCATTGTAATAATGGTTCAGTCTATTGATTTACACTTTTTTAAATATATGTTTCCTTCTCTCCAAAGTATTTATTTTGATCATTTTGTCAGCACTACACACTTTCTTTTCAATGCAGAGCCTTCCTTGGGTGCAATTCAGAAGAGGAGATAGTTAACTACAGATTCAACTGTGAACTCAGGTGGCCTAAATTTTAACATCAATCTTTCACTTTTGGTTTGTCGATCCCTCAAGGCACATTAGTCAAAGGTTCCCTCCTCAGTCTAAAGCGTGGAGACCTCTCTAATATTTTCGCACCTTACAGGGTCCCAAAGGACAGTGTCAAAATCCTGCCCTGCCACTGCACTTTCCATTGCATAGCTAAGTTAACCAGGCACAATAGATATTTATGAACTTAGTGAAGGACTGATACAAGAATGTACTGTGCATGTCAACTCAAAAGAGCTCATTGAGAACTATTTCCATGCCAAATTTCCACACGCCAACTATAAAGCTGATTTTAAAAATTGCAAAAATGTTAACATCAAACATTGTTAACATCAAACAAACGGATGTCTGGGAATTCTTCAATCCAAAATGGACTTTTTTTTTTAAAAACAAAAAATGTAGTCCGACCCAAAATGTTTTGTTTTCTGGCATTTTTAAAATGCTAGATTCAGAAAACGGCCAGAGGATTAGCTGCTATCCTTATAACCTTTAGCGCTGAGGTTAGGGCTCTCACCAAGATATGAGACCCCAGTTTGATTCCTCCCTCTGCTTGATGTAGAGCAGGTATTTGAACTTTAGTTTCCACCTCCTCAGAAGTGTTCCCTAACCAATGAGCTGAGGGTATTCTGGGGCAGATTTTTCTCAGTCTCTTCTTTGGAAGTTGTTCCACTTTGTATAAATAATTCAATAGTCATTGGAGCAGAGACTGGAACCCAGGTGTCCCTATTCCCAAGTAATGTCCTAAACACTAGGCTACAGACTCATTCTCATTTATTTTCTCTCTCTCTCTCTCTCTCTCTCTCTCTGGTCCAATGACTAATCAAGAATTTTATACACAGTGGAACAGCTTCAACAGGAGAGATTGAGAGAGACCTATCAAGAATACCTCCTAGCCCAGTGGTTAGGAATGAAGTTAAAAGGCAACAAAATTAAAAGTGAAAAAAGGAAATATTTTTCACATAGCATGTGATAATCCTATGAAACTCTGCCACAGGACATGGAGGCCCAGGGTTCAGCAGGATTGACATGTAAATAAAGAATATCCAGAGTGTTATAGGGTAAATAAAAAAGCCTTCATGCTTCAGGCCATAAACCAGTCATTAACTGCCTTGAAGAAACTTCCCCTCTGGGGCAGGTTATTCTATACTTATCCAATATAGAACTTTCTACATCTTCCTCTCAAGCGTCTGGTATTGTCACTACTGCCCAATAGTGATCTGATTCACTATTGCAACTCGTATGAGGATTGCTTTCTGTTTCAGTGAGCTGTGATTTATTTCTTCCCCCTCCTCCCCAATCCTGCATATAACATGTTTTCAACATGCTATCATATAAAACAGTTACCAGTTTCAGTGATGCATGGATATTCTTTGAAATAGCAAGACTAACATTTTTCATTTAGGCCTGGAGTAAAGCAAGCTCTGATTTGAAGCCTTGATTCCAGCCACTCTGAAGATATTTTGTACAGTCCTCAAGATTCCAGTTAGTTTATAACAGACACCTATTGAATCTTGGTTATCTTCTTTGTAGAATTGTGTATTGTAAGATGTAATTATTCTTTAGCTGTGCATTCACATTTAGAGAATTAGTATAGTTGGGAAGGAAGTATCCACATAGCGCTTGTCTGGAAACCTGAACATTTGGGGGAAAGCGTGTTAATTCAATGAGCATTGTCTAATTGTTTTTAATCGTATCACATCTTCGTGTACTAGGGCATCTGAATGTTTTGCCATTTATGAAGTGAATGCAATACTTGACCAAGATCTTACACTCCTTTAAGTGCCAAATCCTCAGTACACACATTGCCCTGACTTTTTTTGGTTTAAATCCACTTCTGCTAATATTGGACAAGGTCTACAACATACCCATACAAGTATAGCTAAAACTTCACTGAACCCTATGAGTACAGCTCTTCTGAAGATGACATATGTTATACCCAGGGCACTCCATGTGTTAGATTGGATTAAATTTAAGTAGTTCTGTTATGTGAAAGATCATTTTTGTAATATGAGAGAGATTTTCATTTAGCTCTACCCCATATTATAATAGTCAGTGAGATAAGCAATTTTGAGAATGAAGCAACGCTTGTTTTATGCTTCTTTTTATAGCCATGCAAACACAATAATAAGTAACATCAATTTTAACACATTTTGCCAAAGTGCCTTTACACTCACTGAAATATATGGGTTAGTATAGATGTTTTCATTTGTCAGTGACCTTATGAGTAAATGAATTGAAGTGTGATAAATTGAATTTAGGCAATTTCTACTCATTATTGACAAAGATGAGGTCAACAAATAAACGGTGGCCCTGAGCCAGTTTTGAGCCTGGCTCTCAAATTCTCCAATGATCATTTACATTGGGGGAAGGAAAATCCAGTCAAAGCATTGTGCATGCATTTCCTAGCTCTAAATATATTAAGCACAGCTTTTAGATCTATGGGTACATCTAATTTTTTATTATTTTTTCAATCAGGATGGTATTTGATTAAATTGATACCAATTTAAGGGAACTTTTATATTAACCCTTTACCACCACTTAAATCTAGTCTACAGACATAATTGTTTAAGAATGCCTACTCCACCTCAGTGGGGAAAGACTTTGGCAGGGGGAGAAATCC